CCCAGTATGGATATCTCTCCCATCTGGGCCCCTGTCATTACAGCAGAAATCAAGAGACTACAGCGACGTCAAGTGTAGTTGGTTTGGGTAACTATTTGTTTCATATGTTGGTACCACAAGGAGTATTGCTTCTCTTCCAGTATGATTTCATTCACGATATTTCTCTGGTGCTAAGCCTCAAATTAGGATATCTTCAATATTTCTTAGCTCCCACAGATGATTTTGTTGTGCTTGTATACCACAAGGAGTATTGCTTCTCTCCCGGTATGATTTCATTCAAGATATTTTTCTCTTGGGCTAAGCCTCAAATTATGTTAGCTTCAATATCTCTTAGCTCTCACAGACGGATTAAGTTGTGCTTCTTTTATGAATTCCTTCGGAAATTGGCATAGTTGTCCGGAGATAGGGGCTAGCTCTGTCTATTGGACCCAACTGAGTAGGTTTTACCTGAAGACGGGGACAGATTCCAGTTCCCAAAACGTTCTGTTTTTAATAGAAACTAGACTGTTTTTTAGAATAGACAAGATGATGGATAATGTCCAGCAAAATAACAATTGTAACTACCACAATTGTCCATCGCTCTTAATACACGTATCACAGACGAGCCGGGAATGGGTTCAAGAAGCACCGGCTGTCGCGGTCGACTCCTTTCGTAGCGGTCAGTTCGGCCAGGCTGCGAAGGTGAATTTTTCTGGCCTTGAAATTGGGCGCTCTTCAAGCGAGTCTAGCTGACCGATGGTGCAGCGGTGGGTGGGCCGGTAGAATCAGCTGCCTATGGTGCGTACGCTGGCGCTGTTACTGGAAAGTTATGGCAGCTGCTGCTTCGTGATGTCAGCGTAACTGAGATGGCTGTGATCGGTGTACTGATGATAGGCAAAAGTCAAAGATATTGTCACGTATTGGATGTATAACGCGACAAATAACTTCACGCCATATTTGATATAGGGAATTTTATTTCACATTCGCACTTACAATCACACAGTTGACAGTTTTAGAACTACTGCTATCTGCAGTATCACAAATACTACACTCCAAATGCCAAAATACAACTGACTGGTTGCTGGCTAACTCGGAACTAACTTGGAGGTAGCTCGAGGACTAACTGTGAATAGCCTTCGCTGCTCCTCATGTAGCCTCGATCGGACAATACAGAAAATGGCCACGTAATAAGCACCCCTGTTGCCTGGCGCTGTGTTGCTGGCAACACTAGCGGTAGTAACCGCTGTTACTACCGTCGTCTCTCGCAATCCTGTTTACCCGCGCTGCCTAGCAACCCGCGGTACCCTTGGTGACGTCATCGCTGTTGACTCGCGTTGCATAGCGACCAGGATGCTAGGACTCGGCTAACGTCGGCTCACTTCGGCTTCGCTCGGCGCATCACGGCTGGCGGGGGGGGGTGCTATCCATAGCTCAACATGTCACAATATATTGCAACTGACAGTCAGTCAGCCTGTCTGTCTTGGTGTCGAAATATTTCTTTTTATATCAAAATTACTGTGTTGTCCATGTGGGGCGCCCTCTCTGATGAGAGGTCAGATCTGTCATTTGTCAGTCGTAGTCTGTAATATTAAGTCCTTTGTCGGTATGTACAATTATTTACAAGGTTATGCTTAATATCTACTCCAATGTACAAAATATGTACGGGGCCTCTGTCAGTCTAGGTAGTGATGCTAGTGATAATTATGTGCTGTAGTCAGTTGGTGATTGCTGTGAGAGTGTAAGGTGAGCAGTCGTTGGTTGCTTGGAAGTATGGCTCGTACAATTGGGCTGAGTTAGTGATTGCTGTCAAGTGAAATATGAGTGATGATTATTAGCATTAGAGTGTTGGAGAGTGGTGTGTGAAGTTTGAAATTGGTGATCGTTGGCTGAGTCAGTTGGAGATTTGTGTGTAATTTCGAGTGCTGTGTGTTGAGAATCTAGTAATGTAAAAATGTTCAAGTAGGTAATGGTGATCTATATTCATTTGTTTTTGTTTTGTATTATAATAAAAGTTTTTATCCAATATGGCTGTTAAGNGTTTTTAAATGAAGATTCTGATGCGTGCAAAAGAACTGATAAACATCGTTGATGGCAGCGACCTGTTAAGTGACCAAGGAAGAGACGAAGAAAATATAAGAAAATGGAAGATGTGAGATGCAAAGTGCCAATACTACATAGTGAGAACAATAGAGAAACACGTGAAGACCCACATTGTGACATGCACAACCGCTAAAGAAATGTACGACACCTTGAAGCAAATTTATCAGCGAGACACCTCTCAACAGAAGTGCCTTCTACTACAAGACTTCTACAACTTCAAGTATGACAAAACTAAGGATATGATGACGAATATAAGTCATGTACAGAACATTGCCTTCAAGCTTCGTCAATTGAACCAAAACGTTGATGAAAACATGATCATGATAAAAATAACAACGATTCTACCAGAAGACTACAAACACTGCAGCACTGATTGGGACTCAACGGCGACCATGGACAGAACCCTTGACAACCTGGTGGTCAGTTTGATGGTGGAAGAAGTGAAGTGCAAGATGACGACTAAAGAAGAGGAAAGCATGGCCTTTAAGACAGTAACTAAAACCAAAAGTAAAACCCCTTTCAAGTGTAATCAAATAGGTCATGCCCAGATCAACTGCCCCAACAAAGGTAAGAGAAATTTGCTCTATCTGTAAAAGGAATACTCACTCTGAAAAGGACTGTTACTTTAGAAATAAGGACGATGATATGAGAAAACAATGTACAATATGTAAGAAAACGAACCATGCTGAAAAGGACTGTTATTTTAAAGTTAGGAATAAAAGAAGCAAGGTAAATTTTCTAGCTGAAGCAGCAGAAACCCAAGTGAGTGATGCAAGTAAAAATGACAAAATTTATGTAGTGGATAGTGGTAGCACATGTCATATGACAAATGTGAAGACAGATTTGATACATACTAAGCAGTATACTCAATGTATAAAGGTAGCAAAGAAAATCAAAGTATGACTGCAAAAGATACAGGCAATTTAGAACTTAAAAGAGTGTAGTTTGAAAAACGTTTCACATGTTCCAGAACTCAGCAAAAACCTGCTGTTAGTGCACTGTATTACAGAAAATGATGGAGAAGTGTTTATAAAAGAGAAAGTTCAGATATTCAAGGACAAAACTGTTGTAATCAAAGGAAAAAAGGATGAAAATGGATTGTTTGTAATTAATTTTAGCACGAGGAATGAAGCTATGACGATTCAGCAAGATATAAGTGTAGAGTGGCATAGAAAGCTAGGTGACATATTTATTTATTTATATGTATTCCACTGTAAAATTCTGTTGATCCAATCTAGGCTACAAATACGCGTGATGGATATAGAACCAGTAACAGACAAGTGACTAAAGTACACATGCTATGAAAAATACATAGGTGAGATCAAACAATAAACCAAACTGTTTATCTCTCTACTTTAACATTAAACATAACATCTTAAATTTAATATTGTAAAAAATAATCATATCAAAAGGTAGATGGTAACATATTCATGCCAAAATAAAGCACCTAAGATACATAAAACCATAAAAATTCACATTAAAATTGGTAATTACTATTACAAAAATCCTTCAATTAATAAAAAGAATCAATATAAGGTCATTTTTTATGCAAGGCGGTAAGTGATTAAATAGCTTTATACCTATATAATAAACACCCTTTTTATAGATAACATAAGTTATGTGAATCTTAGGAAACTACAAGAGACA